AGAGAGAGAGAGAGAGAGAGAGAGAGAGAGAGAGAGAGAGAGAGAGAGAGAGAGAGAGAGAGAGAGAGAGTGCTTTTGGTCGTTCCTTGTGCGTACCAGAGTCAAGAACACAAAGAACGTCACTGAATCTCTCTCTGAATCTATGTCCAGGAAGTCAGTGAAGCTGTCGCTGAACCTCTGCCCAAGATGCATCGCAAATCTCTCTCTCTCTCTCTCTCTCTCTCTCTCTCTCTCTCTCTTTTGTTTTCAGCAGATGAATCATGCCCATCAATCTTTTCTTTCTCTGGATGTCGAACTCAGCATCCGACAGGATTTGAACCAGTGACCTGTGCAGATGAAGGAAGATGTATTACCTGACGACCTATGAGACCTGCAACAGCCATAGCTCCCGAGGTGATTGTGCACGCCCCCAAGATCCGCTCCCTACTGAATGTGGGCAGCTCCCCTGCTGCCACGTCATCCTCTCCGGTCTTCGTTGCCATCTCATCTGCTGCTCCTCTTATGTTTCCTTTCTTCTCTTCTTCCCCATCTTCTTGTCTCCTTTTTCTTCTTCCTCCTCCTGCCTGCGCCATAGCCAGATTTCTCGCAAACCCATCATCATCATCATCATCATCATCATCATCATCATCGTCATCATCATCATCATCCTCATTGTAAGGGAGATGCATGTCCGGCAGCTGCAGCCTATCAAAATCCTTCTTGTCACTGGGAGCTATTAGCCTCCCTGAAGAGAAGGAGAGCCCCCTACCATCCAACGGCTCAGACGATGATGAGCTCCTGAGCCTCCTGAGCCCATCCAACGGCTCAGATGGCCACGTCGGCATCATCGATGGCAGATCTGCCACCTCTTCGCTGGCCGTCTTATTCTTGTCGCCCGATACCGGCGTATCAGTCGGGATCCCAACCGCTTCATCCCGAGCCCGACCTTTCCTAAGCCGTCTTCTGTTCTGTGGCTTTGGCTTTGCAGCAGCCACTGCCTGACCTCTACTCCTGCTCCTTCTGCTGCTGCTGCTGCTGCTGTGAACTTCACTCTGCCAAGCCCCCTGAAAAGAAATGAAAACAGCTCCCCACGAATAGAAAGGGGCGATGGTAATCATCAAAAAAAAAAAAAAGAAAAAAAAAAAGGGGAAAAAAAAAAAACAGCGAGGACACAGCCGTATATCAGAAACGGACCAATGATCGATCAATCTTTTCGTTCTCTTTTCTTTTTTCTTTTTTTCTTTTTTTTTTTTTGCTGGAAAGCATATTGAGGACTTGTGCGCGGATGCCACAAACATTTTATAAGCCTTTAAACCACCAGTACTTTCGTTTACTTTTTCGTTTCCTTTGTTTTTTTTAATCGACAGAACTCAGATTTACATGGGCCCCAACAACCGCTCAACCCCTCCCCCTCTCCTCCTCCCC